GCCAGGCCCTGCCACCCTGCCAGACCCTAGGGCCGTCCACCAGCCGCACCATGGAAAACACCCCGGCAGCTCCAGGACAAGCCACAACCCACAGAGCTCCTTGCAGCCCCCAGCCAGCCATCCTTGCAGGTCCAGGACAGCGATGCTGGCCCTGCCAGCAGAGCCCTGGCCCTGGCATGAGCCCTTCAGCATGGAGACACTGGTCCCCTGCCCCAGCCAGGGCTGTTCCAGATCCTCCCTCCTCCGGCGAGTCACAGCCCACAGCCCAGACCGGGGCGCTTGCTTCTCTCTGCTCCTGCATCCACCTCCTCCTTCACCCATAACAGCTCCCACGCACTGCATCAGCACAGCACGGGCAGCAGCCTGCCCTGACATCACAAGCAAGCTCCCTCCGGGCAGGCACAGCCCGGGACATTGCTCACCTCCTGCACCCCCTAGCACAGCCACCCCTGAACTGCACATGCAGCCAGACCTTGTCCTTGCTTGAGGTCTCCAGCTGACGTTCTCCCTCCCACCGGGCCTCAGGCAAGAACAAAAGTACCCAACCTTGAGCTCCCACAATCATATCTTGCCTGGTCAATGCGACCGTGGTCACCTCCAGCCATTACATCCAGCCCCGTCCCCGCGTTGGCCTGAAGGCCCTGGGTGACAGTGCTGAGGCTGACCAGCCCCACACTGAACAAAGCAGCCACAGCCCGTCCCCAGTCACTCACATGCCCCTGAGCCAGTTCTGTTCTGCCCCATCCTGTCTCCTTCAGTTCAGCATCAAAGTCCAGAGACACAGGACCTCCCAAATTCCCCAAGGTGGGCAAGACAGTGGTCTTCACAAGGAAGGCAGTGGTGAACGCTGTGACAACCAGTTTGTACACAGGGCCGTACAATAATCACACCCCTCACCACCCTGAGTCTCCGTGGCTCTTCTTGCCAAGGAGACATGGCTGAAGCTCCAACTTTCCACTGCAGTTTTACTGCCCAAGAGCCACAGACTTGGTCCAGCTGGATGCCAGTGCTTGCCACTGCGGACACAAGCTCCTTAGCTTAGCCTGCATCGCAAAGTTCCTAGCAACGGCTAGCTGGAGGGAGCCCAGAGGAAAACTCAGGGCAAATCAAAACTGCCACCACTCACTACTCCACCTCAGGATTAGCTCACAGAAGAGCAGGGAACATCTCACTGCCACAGACAAAGTGCATCCTCCACAAAGGTTGGATCCTGAACTGTCCTGGGAGATGAGAGCTCCTCCACGTGCCCTGCAAACCCAGGGCAGCAGGACCTGAAGCCTTGTGGGGAGCGGTCACTTCTGACCAGTGCTTCCCCACGTCCCAAGTGCTGCACTAAAACTGGCATCACCCTAGCTGCTGCTGAGTTTGTAGAAGAGACAATCAAGCCAAGGCACCCAAAAGCCAGTTAATTAAGTGACCAGAAGCCAGGTGATTACAGGAGAGAGGAGGTAAGTCTGCCAGGTTTCCCTTAGAGCTCACATGAGTTTGGGGCCATACCATAATCCCTCCCGACAGCAGGGTCAGTCTCTCCACTGTTCTCCTTGCTCTTTCCTTATCTATACCCCAAAAAATTGTACCCTATGCTTTATATCTCCACAGCATACCTCCACCTTGAACAGCCTCTGCTGTTTTTTCTGTTTGAGCACAGCTAGAACAGCAGAAGGACTGGCATGGGAGGTGGCAGATATCAGTGACGGCTCAGGTAAGACCAAGGAATCTGATTACATCTGCTCTGCTGGGAACAAGCAAGGGTGCTGCACCATGTCACTCCAGGTGATAAAGCACTTTCCAGTGAGGTGGTAACTGAAGAGCTCACGGAAACTGGACTGAGATTGGATTTAAATGGTTGTTAAGTGTGGGAGGTACTGCAGGAGGAGCGCAGAAAGGAACGTGCTCAAACACGGGAGAGGGCAGTGGGACGGCTGTCCTGGGCGACACATTCCATCACCGCGGACTCCACCCAGCAGAACAGCAGGAGCCAGCACCGGAGCAGGAACAACGGCTATAGTGACACCATGGAGATCGGCTGTCTGACCAGGGGGGCCAGCCCGTGAAGACACCCCATGTCTGTGCACCAGGACTGTGACACCCTGACTAAATGGCTGGGGCTGCACAACACAAGCGAAGAAGCACTGGTAGTGATCTAAGTGGCCCCATCCTCCGGCCCCAAGGTACCTGTCAGCGGGGAATCATTGCTGATGACATGGCACGGCCATGGCTCCCCTGGGACTGCCACAAAGTCCAACACATTCGACTCCCTCAGGAACCTGCAAATAAACAAAAACTACCCGTGAAGAGGCTCCGCAGCAGCAGCCCACGCAGCCAGGGTCGCTTGGACGTGTCAGACAGCTCTACTAACGGAGCCACAGAGAAGGCAGAATGAGTCCTGGAGTTGGGGACCACATCCAGGGCATGGACCTAGGCATCAGAGAGGACGAGTACAAGATATGGCTGAGCCAGAGCAGGGCTGCTTCCCCCAGCACACATAGCTGCACACCGGCCATCTCTGGAGAAGGGCCAAACAAGTCCCCGAGCAGGGTAACCAGGGGCCCTTCTCCCCCAGAAGCAGGACACAAAGTCCTGGATCTGCACAACGCTGAGACACCAGAGACAGAAGCTGCAGGAAACCAACCAAAGCAGAGGGAAATGTGACAGAAGGAGACAGGTGAGCTCCCCTGGGAGCAGAGGTGTGACTGGGCTGCACGAGGAGCCATGCAGTGTCCCCAGGGCCCAGCTAGCTCCTTGCCTGGCAGGGTCAGAGCACGTCTGAGTGTCTGGCAGCCGAGCCACGCAAACTGGGGGACATTTTCTGGGAAGGGGGGTTATGAACCACATGGACATTCCAGGTGAAATCAGGAGCTCCGTCGCATGGGGCCCATCATGCAGTCCTTGGGAGACCCAGGCAATAGGGCTCAGCTCTGCGGTCCTCGAGAGAGCTGTGACCACGGGGATAGGACTGGCAGAGGTAATGGCCACAGAGGAGCCACAGCACGGCCACAGTGCCCTAACGCTGGGGTCACTCATGGTCTTGTTCTGCAGCTGCCTCTCCTCCCGTGCCTGGCTGTGGGGACCTGGGCTCCCCTTCCTCTGCAGCCAGTTCCCATGGGGGTCACTGCAATCACAGAATAATTCAGGTGGAAAGGGACCTCACAAGGTCTCCAGTCCACCTTCCTGCCCAAATCAGGGTCAGCACTATGATTAAGGGCTTTATGCCAATTGGGTCTTGAAAACCTCCAAGGATGAAGACTGCACAACCTCTCTGGGCAACCTGATCCATGACTGGACTTCTCCCACTCCCCAGGACAGTACAAGGGAGCAGGACCCCGGTGGGCATCTCCAAAGGATGCTTTCAGTTGCCTCTGGAGATCAGATCACAGGCAGGACTGCGAATCCCTCTCTGCACTCCCAAAAGCCCCAGATCCCTCATCCAGGCTGAAAGGATCTCAGCACCGGAAGGACCAAGATGGTGAAAGACTGGAACACTGCCGCTCATTGCTACCCAAGCGTCCTCCTGCATGTCCGTTCTCCAGCCTGCCAGCCCATCCTCCCCTCTTG